GGGAATTGTTTAATCCCTCCTTCATATTTTTAAATGATAATTGTGCTGGATACAGTATTCTTGGTTCAAGGCCCTTCTGTTTCATTGCATTCAATATATCATGCCATTCTCTTCTGGCCTGTAAGGTTTCTCTTGAGAAGTCTGATGATAGCCTCATGGGTTTCCCTTTGTAGGTGACCTTTTTTCTCTCTCTGGCTGTCTTTAATACTCTGTCCTTGTCTTTGATCTTTGCCATTTTAATTATTATATGTCTTGGTGTTGTCCTCCTAGGGTCCCTTATGTTGGGAGTTCTGTGGGCCCCCATGGTCTGAGAGACTATTTCCTCCCCCAGTTTGGGGAAGTTTTCAGCACTTATTTCTTCAAAGACACTTGCTATCTCTTTTTCTCTCTCTTCTTCTTCTGGTACTCCTATAAGGCGAATATTGTTCCTTTTGTATTGGTCACACAGTTCTCTTAATATTCTTTCATTCCTGGAGATCCTTTTGTCTCTCTCTGCCTCAGCTTCTCTGTATTCCTGTTGTCTGATTTCCATTCCATTAACGGCCTCTTGCACCTCATCCAGTCTGCTCCTAAGTCCTTCCAGAGATTGTTTTATTTCTGTATTCTCCCTTCCTACTTGCTCCTTTAGCTCTTGCATATTTCTCTGCAGGTCCATCAGCATGGTTATGACCTTTGTTTTGAATTCTTTTTCAGGAAGATTAGTTAAATCTGTCTCCCCAGGCCCTCTCTCGGGGGTTGTCTGGGTAATTCTGGACTGGACCAAATTCTTCTGCTTTTCATGACCATAGAGGTAGCTGTACGCAGGTAGCGCATGTGTCAGCTGGGAGAACAAAGTCCTTTCCTGCTTGTTGGTCACCTTGCCCTTCTCCGCTGCCTGTGCTGGTTACCTGCACTCCTAGAGCAGCCTCACGGATTAATCCCCTAAGCTGCTGTGGGTGGAATCACCTTCAGAGTAGCCCAGAGCCCTGCAGCAAGTGGTAGGCACGTTGGGTGTGCTCTCCTGCAAGAGGGGTGCGTCTTCGCGCCTTGCCCTGGTTTCTCTTGCCTGTGCCCGGCAGCCATGCGCCGGGGGCAGCCTTTGTTTCTGGCCCAGGTGGCTGCGCGCTGGGAGGAGATTCTGGGCAACCGCAGGGGTTGCGGTTGCTCCCGGGCTGCCCTGCCGCTGCCACCTCACGCGGCTACTCCCGGGCCGCTCCCCACCACGGGCGCACACAGCCACTCTCCCGCTACTGGGCTGTTGTGTTGGGGGCCGCGGTGACCAGGGGAACGTCTGGCAGGCTGCTTATCACTGTGAGGAGCTTCATAGCTGTGCTGTTGCCCAGGGGGTTAGGTCGCCTAGAGTTCCCCAGGATTCCCAGCTGCTGGGCTGAGTGTGCCAGGATGCTTCCGTCCAGCTGTTAGGACCCTGTCTCTTTAAGACTTTCAAAAAGCACTTGCTTTTCTTTTGTCCCATGGGAGCCGGTTGTGGGGAGCCAGTTGCATAGACCCACCCGCAGAGTTTGCTTTTCCGTTTGTCTAATAACCAGCACACCATGCAGTGTGTTTCTGCGCTCCTGGTGTGGATTACTAGAGCTGGTTGTTTAGCAGTCCTGGGCTTTCACTCCCTCCCGGCTCCAACTCCTTTCCTCCCACCGCGGAGCTGGGGTGGAGGGAGCACTCGGATCCCGCAGGGCCACAGCTTGTATCTTACCCCCTTCGTGAGATTCTGAGTTCTCGCTGATGTAGATGTAGCCTGGCTGTTGTACTGTATCCACTGGTCTCTCTTTTAGGAATAGTTGTATTTGTTGTATGTTCAAAAATATATATGGTTTTGGGAGGAGATTTCCGCTGCTGTGCTCATGCCACCATCTTGGCTCCTCCCCTGATTTATGGGTTTTTAATATTGGAAAACCAGACACCAAGAATCACCAACTGCCATGCTAAGAAAAGCTATATTCAAGAAAAAAAAATAAAGAATAAAACTATATGCCTTCTCCAAGTCTAGTCTATTATTTATGTTAGCCAAAGAATACATAGATACCTCTATTTATAGATATTTCATATGAAATAGCAAAGATATTTCATGTCATATAGTAGTGTATTTTTGTAATAGCATTATACTTTACTTCAACATTAATCCAAATCAATTTTCTTCTGTCAAGTCTGTACAATCCTGAGTTATATACTTCTTATAAATCCATCTACGGATTTTCTGGAATTTAAAATAATGTTCCAAAATTTCAATTTTAACTCCAAACTAGAAGTTTTAAAGAATTATTGATACATGATTTATAATTTATAGTAACCTACTTTCAAGTTCATTATTTTCATGACACAGCTGTCAAACAAATTCTCAGAAAAATTAATTTTGCCTTACCTTAAAAGTAGCAGTTAAGAGCTTAGACTTTGCAGTGAGATGGCTTGGGTTTGAATACTGGCTCATCCACCTACTAAATGTGTGAATGGGTAAATTATTTAAATTCTGCAGATTTTTTTCCCCATTTTTAAAATGTAGATAATAATCCTTAAGAATTGTTGTGAGGCCCATGCATATAATGTTCCTCTATGGTGTTTGACATGTAGTAAGTTTTTAAGAAATGGTAACTGTCAATAATAATCGTAACAACAACGGCAGGAGCAGCTCATAGAAATGATAAGTGTTCTATTGGACTGAAAGACAATATATTCTAACTTTTTAAAATGACTCCACAGTTTGACTCTAAAATGAATCCAGAAAAAAAAGAGCGACTGTATATTGCAAGACATGTTTTCTTTTGTTTGTCTCTTCCAAATAACTTCATTTATATTATCATATTAAGCAAAAGAAATTAAGCCAAACAAAAATGAGAAGACCACATTCGTATGTGTGTGCATACACGCACAAAAACACAAACATCTCACTAATGTGCCATGCACAATTTCAAGAGGTTATATAAAAGCATGAAAAGCAAAGAGGAAGTGCCATAGACTACAACGAGGGCAGCCATGTATACAAATGTAGGCAAATTTCCAAGTTCAACTATCAACTAGTGGAACAATTCATTCAGAATCACATTATTGTTGGAAAAGTGTATTGTAATTCTGGTAATTACCTTGGTGGAGACACAAGTCCAGAAAAGTTGGCTATTTTCATCCCTTCTTATCAATACAGGCAAAATAATTTCATATTTTCTTTAAACAAAATGAAATTGCTACTACAGTCACGACGACTAAGGATTTCTAAAGTATATAATGTTTGATACTGGGATTTCTGCCATATTTCATTACAAAGTACAAAAAGCTTCTATGCTATTAACTCGGATTTCCCACTATAAAGAAAAATGCAAACTTTATAACAGACTGTGTTTCTGAAAATGTGTTTCTTGGAACACTAATGGCATGAGACACTGGGTTGCGTGAGGGAGGATGAAGGGTTCTGTAGTCAGAAAAGCTGAAGTCTGGGAAATGCTATATTCTGTATCTGTGAGAGATTTACAGCACTATTAGCACAAATGGTTCTGAGAAGTCCTGCAGTGAGCAGAGCTGTTTAAATTTGTTTAACCAGCGTTCCTAAAACTTATTTAGGCATAGAATATTTTTTTCAAGCAATACATAGAAACCAGTGCTCCTTGTAACAACTTACTTTAGGAAATGTATGATAAATTGCCTTTGGTTAGCTATTAAAAGAGCAATTCCACATGCACCTGTTCCAAAGAGGTAGTCAACTGGCAGAATTTGCTAAGTCTGGTATTTTATGTCAGGAAAAAAAAAATCTAACATGCCTAGACTATCATTTAAACCATCTTTAGCCAAGTTGTATCTTTCCAGAATATGTGTTTGGCCCGCTTTACTACCTGTATGTTTTTAATAAGTCCAAACACCCGATTTGTAATACCTATGAAAATCTAAGAATGAACGTGACCCTCCAGGCCTCTGCTTTTCTTCCTGGGCTTCACTGCAAGCTAAGAAAATGCTGCAGCCATGAGCTACACCTTCAAATGTAAGAATACTAAAGTCAGTGAACAGCATTTTATTAACTGGTGCTATGAGTTGCATTTATACAAGTCTGTCATAAAATAATGAATGTTCCATAATTTTAATCTTGAAGCAAAGTAGTGATTGATTATTACTTTATTCCCCTAACATCTTCCTAATGTCCCTATTAAGTACATAGAACAAAATACCATAACTACTACTTTATCTACTGGAGGTTAAGCAACTTGCCCCAACTACCAATAGTCAGCAGGGACCAATTTCTTGTTGGACAGACACTGTGCATATTACAACTACAGAAACTGTATCAGATAATCACCCTCAAATATGAACAAAAACAGGAAATTCCTTTACTAATAGCTTATTATTTAAGGAATTTTCTTCCTTTGAAATAATTTTGGAATACAATTTGCTAGAAATCTTAACTTGAACCACAGAAATCAGATGGTGTGCTAGATAGCTTTTTGTGAGTACAGAAATTACAAAGTCTTACCAACTGTAATGAAGCATTTGTTTCTTTGTCCTTGTGCTAGATGCAACAAAATAAGTAAGCTACAATTAATTCTGTGTAAACTGAATGTGAATGATTATGCTGCCAGGCTATGGCATCACTTTCTTCCTAAGTTGTCCCTTCAATTTCAAAAATACATAAAAATGTACAAAATGTGTAAGATGAAATAGATATCAACAGTTTTTAAAAAGCCTAACAGAGAAGGCACAATGACTGCTATTATTGAAATAATATGTTTTGGTAACCCACAGATGTTTGGTCATTGATTTTTAAGCTATACAAAATAAGCTGGCCATTCAAAGAAAACACTTCAAAACATCTATGGCACAATACATGTAATCACAGTATCTTATATTACAATATATATCAATAACATTTCATCAGAGATAAGGAATTTGTCAAAGAGAAGAAATAATTTGACATGAAAGGAGTCAAGAGTGTTGGCAATTCAGTAAAGGAAAAGGAGTTAAAGTATCAGGTTCAAGTTTCCTAGGTTTTTTTTAATGTAGAAGCAGAGACAACAAAAGTTGATCTTCACCTGGTAAGTGTGTACTCCCTGAGTCCTGAATGCAAATTCATGGCAGAAAAAGTACCTATGCATCCACGCAATCTTTTGTCTCGACCAATCTTCCATGTTACAAACAGTGGGCTGTAATGGAAGACAAAAATAAGGTAAATCAATCAGTTCAACTCAAGCAAGTATTTATTGTGTATTTACTATATGCAAGGTTAGGTGCCTAAGATATAAAGACCAAATGGTAGGCCCTCAATGGGCTGAGTCTAGTCCAACAGGCCTGCATTTAGCAGTAATTATAGCTGTACTGTATTGAGTGCTTCCTATATGCTAGGCAGCACAACGTTTTAAACAAAATTGTGTTAGTGTTCATCAACAACTCCAGAAGGCTGATGTTGTTACTAACATTGCTATTTTACAGATGAGGCAGCCCCACATTTAATACCTAATAAAGTAGGAACTCAAACTTGGGCAATCTTGACTACAGAGCCTTAACCATTGTGGCTGACTGCCTGATCCCTTATTTAAACCTCAAGTTACTCACTGACTTGTAAGTGTAAGTCTAGTTTAGAAAATCAGGGGAAAAATTCAACAATTTCAGGAGATACTTTACTGAGTATATCGGGCAAAGTACTGTGAGAGGTGCTACAGGAAAAACAGTTATCTAAAACACAGTCGTCACTCTCTAGGAGCTGGTGCAGAAGGCATGCACGTTCCTAGCTAACTAACGCAAGGCAAAAGGAAATAAGTGCTATAAACTATGTCCAAAATGCCATAAATTAAGCTATTAGGATAGAAAATTTCATCAAATTTGATCGTCTTCAGCTTGACCTAGAAAAATGAGTAGGGTTAAGAGAGGTGAAGGACAACAGCAAACATTAGCAAAGTAATACTCTAAAACCAGAACATTTATTTTACTTTTTGGATGAAATTGCCAATAAATACAATCTCTCAAGCATCATATTTCAAAGTATCAATTATAATATAATGGCATCAAGAAAGTAATTTGCTTTCAAATGAGGTTTAATGCAGTTGATATTTGGATTCAGCAGCAAACCACTGACAGCCTCAATTAATGATTAAGTCTAAAAACAATTATTTTCTAATTAGAAACAACTTTCTATGTCAGTTTTTATGAAATTAATTTACATATTTTAGGAAACATTTTGTAAAAAGAGAATTACCCTACAATTGGGGATGGTTCATGTTAATATGAGTATTCTACGTATTATTAGTATATTATAGTAAATTTCTGCTTTCTAAAAATTTAAATTTTAGGGGGACATACTATATGTCATATATTTCTTATAATATGCTGTTGAGTTGGAGAACACATTCCTTCTTTAATGTACTCTCTAGTCAGTCATCAGCAGTTGGGTGAAAAGATACCCTGTTTGAGCACTTCAATCACCCAAGTTATACCGACAGTTAGCCACAATGGCAGAGAGGTTCCCGACTAAATGTTTACAAATCAGGGAGCAGTACTAGGAATTACCTTCTTCCAAGAGCCAAATGCCCAGAGGCACTGAAAAAGACGGCTGAAGTATAAAGCCAGGTTATTGTCAATGTTAATTTTCAAGTGTCGGATGACCTACACTAAAGGTACCAAAATAAAAAACAGAAGGTAAATTTCAGGCTTTCTGCTTTCTATATCATATGTATGAAAAATCTTATAACTTGAGACAAAATTGTGATGTTCCAGTTGGGCATTTCCTCTAATTACTCTTGACTAATAGTTGATCAGGAAGACAAGAGTTAGATGGGAATTCTTCTATTAGTTAAACAAATACTAGTATCCTAAAATTCACACATTATCATTAAGGATGAATTTTACCTCTTTGCTTTTTCACTTCGTAATTTGGTAGCGTCAACATCAGCTAACTTTGTACCGACAGTAAGATGTCGGTCGATCCTCTCCCATAACGATGCCTATATAAAATATCTCTACATAAGCCAGGCCCCTTGGCAGATTCAGAACAAAGTGAATCATACTGTAGTATATATAATAACATGTCTTTAAAATACCACGATGGCTTCTCAGTAACACAGAACTAAGTTGTATATTCTCTTCCTCAGTGACTTGAGTGAGAAACCTCAAGGTGTAAGTGGATTCATTTCCTATCAAAACACTAGACATCAAAGTCATTTAAAAGGATCTTCTATTCTCTTATCTTGCTAAAATTCGTATGTGCATCATTCTTACTATAATCCTATATATACTCCAGGAAACATTCAAAATTTGTAGAGTGGCTAAAAAAAGAACACAAACACTGTATTATGAAACATGTTGGAGGGCATTCAAACACATAGGGGAAATTACATACACTTTCTTATTATGTTATCACTGACGCAGGGGTGACGAATTTGGGGGGTAGTGGATAAGCTGCATTTTGCCAGCAGCCTGGGAGAAAAGGCACTCCATAATAAGCAAGGTCATGGAGATGTAAAAGTGCACAGCACTTCCATAGAACAGGAAGTAGTCTAACAGTCTTGGTAACTTTCTATGGTTTTTTCGAGATTTAACATTCTATGAATTTTAGGCACTGTTGAATATGTGTTCTCAAGAGCCCTCATAAAAGGCAAAGCAGATACAGAATAATCTGCATTCTCCCTGATCCTTACCTGCCCCAGGCAACATCCACTTTGGGGGTTGGCATTGCGGGGAAGTATCAGTGTCAAAGATGGGAGGGGTTGCTATTTAACAACCCCACTGGGTTTAGGGCAGATGCCTGAAGATGGAAAAAATCAGACTTTTAGTAGACAGAATGGAACTATTCCTTCAAAATCTGGGACTCTAATTTCTTATTTACAAGTGCTCGTCCAATGTCTTTTATAAAGAACGCATATATGTCCAAACAAAACAAAACAAAACAAAACAGAAACACACTTATAGAGAGAGGATAAACTAGGTTAAGGGAATTAAGGTTAAAATCTTCCAGTTATATGATAAATAAGACAAGGGTATAATATACAGCATAGGGTACATAGCCAATAATACTGTAACAACTTTGTATGGTGACAGTAACCATGCTTATTGTGGTGACCATTTCCTAATGTGTATAAATAATGATTATTTTATACACTTGAAACTAGAATATTGTGTCAGTTACTCTTCAATAAAAATTTAATTAAAAAATAGCATTATTATGTTATTAAAACACCCCAAATACCTAAAAACAACACTTAATGGGGAAAAGAACTTGGGAAGTTAAACATTTTAAAGTAGACTGAAACAGGATAAACATCACCAAACACAAGAAATTGTATCTTGCATGTGATAACTACTTTGTACAGGGCAATGGCAATGGGAACATTCAATATGTATTATCTAAAAATAGCAACAAAAATTTTTCTTTTCCCAAAACACAGAAGAAATAGACAATTCATTCTCAAATGTGTTGTTAAAAACATGTATGTGTTCCCAAAAAGGACAGAAGAAATCAACACAATCAGAGAAAGAACAAAGTAGAAAAAGGAATTTGAGCCTATTAAAGGAGCTACTCAATGGCAAGGAAATAAGGAAAACATAGTAAGACAAAGATCGAATATTTTTGGAAAATACTTTTACCATGTGGTTTGAGGCCACCTACATACATTGAAAAAAATACTATAAACTAGAAAGGGGCTCAAAATGAAATGAAATATTAATGGAAATGTTTATCTGAGGGTAACCAGACATAGCTTTTAAAGGAATTTTCCTACCACTAATTTTGTACTACTACGTTCTGAGAAATCTTTGGAGGAAAGCAAACTCCATTTTTCCAAGTCTGTAGACAGGAATAGGAAGTAACCACCTAATTTAGGTGAATCTTCTCTGCCAACTGGCAGCCAATAGCCATCAGGTCAATAGCAGTAGCTCTCAGGGAAACAAACTTGCATGGAACCAGCAAAAGTACAGAAAAGCAATATAAATCTGAACAGGATATTCCCCAGTTCAAGTTGCATGCCACTTCCTATGCCCTTCTTTGGAGACTACTCTATTGATACAGACCAGAACAGATTAGAAATACACCTGTGGGAGAGGAGTACAACTATGAAAAAGGTTACTTACTTAATATTTTACCATAAATCCTATCTCCCCTGTCATACCAAGGCAAAAATGGAGGTAAAAAAATAGCCTTAGACATTTGCAAGCCCCCACTCTGGCAATTTGCTCTTCTTTAGAATGAGGTTTATAGGTGGCAACATTAACAACATGCTATCAACTCCCACCAATATAATACTAATTATTATAATGGGACATTCAACAAGGTTGTTAATTTTATAGTAGATATGGGAAAAGAGAGAAGCCCTTTGCTATGGTTCTTTTATTCTGCCATCAAATAATGACTGCTTCTCACCTATGCTCAGGTTCTGCTATGTAGCTCAAAAATCCAACTGAATTACTCGTAATATCCAAATCAATAACATAATTCCCCAGGTTCTAGTAGCTCATTCTGTCAAAAACAGAAATGGTGGCATCTTCATTTCACCACCAGATCAAAACATTTTACTTCCCACTTCAACACAAAGAAGTTATATATCTCATTTATAAAGTCATATTAACTACAGATTCAATTCATAAGAATGTATTCAATATGGTTAATCCCTATATTAGTCTGCTCAGGCTGCCATAATGAAATACCACCGACTGCATGGCTGAAACAACAGAAATTCTCGTGGTTCTGGATCTGGAAGGCCCAAGATCACCATTCCAACAGGCTTCTGTTTTTGGTGACAACCCTCTCTTCCTGGCTTGTGGATGGCTGCTTTGTCCTCACATGGCCTTTCCTCTAAGCATTCAGAAAGAGAGAACGAGTGCACACAAGCTCTCTAGCTTCTTGTCTTATGAAGACACTAACCCTATCAGATCAGGGTCCCACACTTATGACCTGGTTTAACCTTAATTACCTCGTTATAAGGCCCATCTCCAAATACAGCCACATTTGAGGTTAGGGTTTTAACATATGAATTTTGTGGGGGACACAATTCAGTCCACAGAAAGTCCCTAACAAAAACTTTAGCACATAGTTCAAATTTATATAATAATGTATCAAAGGTTATTAGCTGAAAGCAAGTTTAGGAGAATATCTGTTTCCTCTTCATTTTACAGGTAAAAAATAAAAAGCCATCCTGGGAGACTAAGTGCAGGGTCA